TGTTAGATTGACCTGGGGATAACACACCTAGGGACGATAAAATATGACACACGGACACACTGACACACAGACACACTGACAGTAGAGTTGTTAGATTGACCTGGGGATAACACACCTAGGGACGATAAAATATGACACACGGACACACTGACACACAGACACACTGACAGTAGAGTTGTTAGATTGACCTGGGGATAACACACCTAGGGACGATAAAATATGAAACACTGACACACTTACACACCGACACGCTGACACACTGACAGTAGAGTAGTTAGATTGACCGGGGGGTAACACACCTAGGGCCGAAAAAATATGACACACTGAGACACTGACACACTGATAGTAGGGTGGTTAGATTGACCTCGAGGTAACACACCTGAGGGCGATAAAACGCGACACACCGACACACTGACACGCTGACACAATGACAGTAGAGTAATCAGAAAGACCTGAAGGTAACAAACTCGAAAGGCAATAAAATACAACCCACTGACACATTGACAGTAGAGTGGTCATACATAACACACTGACAGTAGAGTGGTCATACATAACACACTGACAGTAGAGTGGTCATACATAACACACTGACAGTAGAGTGGTCAAACATAACACAATGACACACTGACACACTGACAGTAGAATCGTCATATAAAACACACTGACAGTAGAGTGGTCAGATAAAATACACCAACAGTAGAGTGGTCAGATATAACACACTGACAGAAGAATAGACAGACAGAAGAAAAGAAGAAGATCTAGAACCTGCCAAGAGCGCCATCCAATCACCTAACTGCACACGTTGACAGATGTAGAATTAGAATCGTTAAACAGAGTTATCGATCCAATTTAGTTATGCAAGTGCCACTTCCTGTCGATGATTTCGTGACATCAGTTGCGGTCGTTTAAAGGACAAACACAATGAATAGCACAAATCTATCGGTAAGAATATATTTACAAAGCTCTCGAATACACGTAAATTTAAGGGGAGACCCGGGTCGGCGATCCCAGAGAATATCCATGCAATGTTTTAAAATCTATCGGTAAGAATATTTACAAAGCTCTTGAATACACGTAAATTTAAGGGGAGACCCGGGTCGGCGATCCCAGAGAATATCCATGAAATGTTTTAAAATCTATCGGTAAAAATATTTACAAAGCTCTTGAATACACGTAAATTTAAGGGGAGACCCGGGTCGGCAATCCCAGAGAATATCCACGCAATGTTTTAAATATAGATTTTTTTTAAAGCGAAAAAAACATCCTTTGACATCTGTTCTATCAGGTCACAATGACGGAATTGTTAACCCCCCCCACCTTAAATGAACTAAAAGGGCATTTGAAAATCGTATATTGAACTAATCATCCTTTAAAAAATTCCTGTTTTTTCTGTTTTTCTTAAAATCGGCTTTTTGACATATTACGTGACCTCCTCAGTGAAAGGAGTTTTCAAATACTACTGAAGCTAGAAGCTTCAAATTTGGCATACACGTGCTCTAAGATATATTCTGGGGATATTTAATATGGAAATACTCAATTTTCTTCTAACATTTATTTTAAAGTCTTGTCAATTGACTCTTGGGGGTCCATTGACTTTGAGCTCACTTTTTTTTTTTTTAAATCATCACATAGATCCACAGTCCATAATAGGTTTGCACTTACGTGCCAAATTTCAGACTTTAGTTCTATATTTTCTAAGAAATTATTCTGCACTAAGAAACTGGTTTAAAAATCCAAGATTGTCGCCATAGAGACCCATTTTAAAAGAAAAAATTAACAAATGCCCCCCTAGTTCACCCTATTTACCTATGATCTTCTTGCACAATTACATGAACGTGAATAAAAGTCATTCGTTTAGAACATTTTTCCGTGAGTGCACGTCTCCCCTCAAAGGAATCTCTCTCTCTCTCTCTCTCTCTCTCTCTC